TCTCTCTCTCTCTCTCTCTCTCTCTCTCTCTCTCTCTCTCTCTCTCTCTCTCTTTCTCTGTCTCTTTCTCCGTTACATGATAAATTTCTCTTACTTCTCATGCTACCCACATAAGGATTCCCAGAAAAGGATAATGATCTAATGCTTTTGCCTCTTTCTTCATTTATCAGCAATAAACTTTACTTAGGCCAATCAAATTCCTATTTTTGTCAGATTTTGCACCTGACTCTGTAAAGCTAGAGATTGTGGGAGAATTTTCATTACTTGTAATTTACAGTATTGTTTCACGGTCAAGATTTCCTCCAAAGCAATGTCATTCAGAGGAAGAGCTCTGTGAAGGTGACCAGTGCTTCTTACCTTCATGAGAGTAAAACAGAGCCAAAGAAACAAAAACAAAATATTTACCTCCTGAGAAATCTATTCTCACCCCTATCATTAGGGATAGCACAGAGAGATGATAGAAACAGAGCTTGTATGCATAAGAGGCAAGTTCTCAGCAATGTCAAAATGCTTAGTTATGACTCTATCTTTAGAAAAGGCTTATTCATAAAGATTCAACTATTTTAAAAAAAGAAAATATAAGACATCAAACTGGTACCAGGAACCACCAGTAAGGAGGGATTTGTGTTCGATGGCTATCAGCATGAGGTGCATCTTCATGAAGCAGAGTCTGGGGAAGAAAACAAGAAGTTGTGAGGAGAGATGAGTTAGTAGGACACTAGTTCAGGAGACTCTGACCCACATTTTTGTGCTCCATGTTAGGAAGAAGACCAGCATCTTGGGAAGGAAGGAAGCCACAAATACAGATTTTCCACTTGTGAGCAAATCCCTGGCCAATAACTCTTAAACAGGGACACAGGTGAACTGACTTGCAAGCATCATAACTCTGTAGTTGCAGCAACTAAGAGTAACCCCTTTCTCTCACTTATATTTGTCATTGTAACCTGGTCTACAATGTACCTTCCATGAACATCCTTCAAAGAAAACAGTGTGAAAAGTGGAGCACGTATTTTACTTAACTTACCTGGAAACCTCAGGAAAACTCATTCCGGCAAAGTCGTCAGACAGACGTTGAGTCAGAATTTTATTCTTCAGGCCATCCAAGAAATGCTTTTGCCAAAGTTCTCTAGGAGAAACCTGGGAGACAAAATTATGAGTGTAGAAAACATGAAGATGACATGAAGAATATTAGAATACATACTACTAGTTTTCAGTGCATTTAGGTCCCAAAAAGGACATTTATCCTAGTGCATACTTTAAGGACAACTTAAAGGACGGAACTGAAATTCAACAATTTTCACCAAGGAGTTAAGGATGAGGTGGATGCACCATGTCTCAGTTTCTTATCAGATGGCATCCAAGTCTCCTTGCTGGAAATTAGATTTCTTCTCTCTTGCCCATTCCTAATTTCAGCATAGCAGATGGTTTTCTGAATTGATAGCAGTCAGAAGAAAGAGATTATGTGGAATCCATGTTGTCTTTCTCTGGATATAACTATTTAAGACTGCTTTTGAAACATCTGTCTTCCACTGATGAAGCACATATTACAAAGAAAAAAATTCTGCCTTCTGTCAGAGTCACAAGACTTCCTTGGCTTAAGTGAACCCCAAAATCCACCATGATCAGTGGCAATATTCACATAAAAATCAAATAGGTTTCTGCAGGAACAGGAGCTTTAAAGAGAAATTATGAAGGGGTAGCTCCTCTCTGGCCTATATGCCAGGCTCACCTCATCCTCCTCACCTGGTTCCAAGAGACTTATTGCCACACTGCCCTGACTAACTCCAGATTCATAAAATCTGGAGTTTACATTTCTATAGCTTATTGGAGCATTTTCACTCAGAAGTTATGACTGCTTCAGAAATTCTCCTCAGATGGTCATCTTGGGGTTTGAGAATAACCATTCTCAAAAGGGTCAACCAGTTCAGGCAATTTAGCACGCTACCTTATCCCCTTCCTTCTTACTGAGATTCAGCAGAATTTCTGGCCATTTCCCAATTTTTAAGGTTGGAGTCCTCTCATAAAGAGTGCTGCTCTCACTGGGCAGTTTACAGCACTATTTAAGTCTCATTTACTAAAGAAACTGGCTTAGTGCTTTGTAATAGTCATATTCTTTCCCCACTGGGACAAAATACCTGACACCTTCAGTGATATGGAAGAGATTTACTTTGGCTTATCGTTTCAGGGGTTCAGTTCCTGCTGGCTTCCAGGCAGAAGCACGTAGTAGAAGGCTGTGTTGGGAGAAAGTTGCTCAACCTGCTGTAGCGAGGATTTGGAAGACAAGAAAAGCAACATAAGGGGAACACCCCCTCAAAGACATGCCCAGCAGTGACCTACTTCCTTCAACACGACCCTGTCTCCTGTGAACACATCTAGTTCTAAACTCATCAATGTATTAATCCATTGTAATGTTATTGCTGCATGATCAAATCATTTTCCAAAAGTTCCTACTCTGAACATGTGAGCTTTTGGAAGACATTTTTTATCCTAACCCCAACAAAATTCTACTATAAATGTTTCTGTTTTTCAAAGAATATAAAAATGGTAACTGTGAAGATGGAGAAGTTCTCCTGATAAAGTTTTTAAAAGATCAAAGAGGAAAACTGGTGGATGTTTTGTGGAAGACTGAGGTCTCAGGAAATCCGGATGTATTAGATCTAATCTAATTTGAAGTATAAGGAAGTGCTTTCAACCTAGAGCCAACTAGAAATGCTCTTTGTACTGAAATTTCTTACAATATAATTTATATAATTAAAACATGTGGTTTTTATTTAAGACCTTATAATAAGAGAAGCAATTTTATAAATGCTAACTTTACACTTAGGAAAATCATATCATGAGACTGATGACCCGAATTTTATACACGAAGGACTGAAAAACAGAGAATATGAGGGACTGATTTGAAAAAGTGAGACTCCAAACTCTGAAGTCCTGACCACTAAACCAAAGTCCAGAGAATGGTACAGACTCTAAAGGAGCACAATAAACATTGCTAGTTTAGGATTTCTGATTGTGGGTTTCAAGCCTTCATTCAAAGAAAAATAAGTAGACATATATATATATATATATATATATATATATATATATATGCATACATACATGCATACATGTATGCATATTATGTGTTTGATTTTGTGTATGTGTATAGTTGTTCTCTCCATGTATGTAGACCACAAATAACTCTTATATTCCATAAATCATCATCTCATGAATATTGGAAGGTGCCTACCCTTCAAAAAGGTTTGCAGTCCAGATCTTTTGAGGAAAGGAAAACAGAAAAACAGGTATAACTGGCTTTAAATATCTATATTCTATATTTCTTTGGAGGATACACTGTCATCATGCAGATTTAATTCTAACTCTTTCATCTAGGCAGGGGTGTATGAGTCACAATAATCACAGCAGAATACTGAACCTCTCTCTTTCTCTGCATACCACATAGGCCAAGAAAACTTCCTTATCAGCCATACTTCAGTCATATACAGTGACTACTGAATGAGAAGAAAGTCAGGGTCATCAAGGCTCGTGCCCTCCTGCCTCGTGGTCATTGCTTGTTGTCTATATATTGTTTCTTCTTACATTCACTGAAGAAATTACACAAGAATTCTGTTTGTTCCAGTTAGCATGTTGCTGGGCAACTTCTGCTTCTTTCATTTTTCCTTAATGACACCCAGGAAGGAAGAGGAAAGCATGCAAAACTTTGTTTTGAATAGAAGTTTGTATCAAAGAGAGGCTGAGAGGTTTCAAGTATATAAAAAAGCAGTGTGGACTCAGAATAAAATGGAAAAGAAGATCACTTTCTCGATGATCTTTGTCAAGGAATGCTTGGGCAGCAAAGGTGGGAGCTCCTCTTCTGGAACGCTTCATGGAGCTACCCTTGGTGCTGTAGAAGTTCATGGAGCATGGAGGTAAGATTGTGGGCCAGAAAATTATTAGTGTATATCGCTAATTCACTCTAAAATCAAGATAATTAGCTTTGGCAATGCATTGTTGGGATATAACTATAAAATATTATAGAGGGAAAATAACACACATAGTATAAATCAATACATGATCACTACTATTACGACTGAATGTACTTTCCTTGAAATAATCTGGAAAAAATGGTTTTAAATTATCACTTTTTATTTAAATAATTATTTATCATGCCAATTGTTATTCTCAGTTTGATTTGCATTTTAATATTTGAGATATTCATCAGCAATATAATCTTTGTATTTGCACTTTCAGTAATTACAGTGCTTCCAACCTTATGAGTACGATTTATCCTTACAAGATTCTGGAATGTATCTAGGAAGAAGTTATAATTTGTAGCTTGTAGATAGATACTGCAGGAGTAAGTTAAGTAATGTTTTCAAGGCCAGGAAGTACCTGGAACTTTCATTTGGGTCTCTCAGTCTCCTCCCGGGTTAAGTAGAAGTCAAGTTGTCTTTCTTAGGAATTTTTTGATTTCCTAAAAATCTTTGGTTTTTTTTTTTTTCTACTTCTGACCCTAAGATGTGTGACAGGGGAAAAGAGACCAGATTCAACACCAGTTTACCTTCTTGTTTTGCTCAACAAAGAGAGATGTTAGAAAGGTGCACAAGCCTGGGACCAGACAACCTTGGGCAATAAATCCAAGTTTTAATTCAGCAAAGCAGATGATGTTGTCTCCAATATTTCGGTCCCAGCTGGGAATCTTTGGCAAGAAAACCTGTTTTTTGGAAGAAATCAGTCAAATGGTAAGATGACACATTTCTAAAAAAAAAAAAAAAGTTCTTTTCAATGAATGTCTATTATTTCATTCAGTTAATATCATTTACTCTTCACTTTTGGGAATAAAAGTGGTGATTAGGTCAGGGCAAGGGATAATACACAATTTAGGATAGGATTTTAAAGTGTCTGCTGGTTTTCCAGTGTTGTAAAATCAGGCCAAGTAGCTCAGACCTCTAATTCTGACCTGAAGTTATACCTTTAAGTAATTCAAAATCTTAAGATTCCAAATTTCACCTATTATTGGTAAACCTTTTCTAACTTATAGACCCATTTGAGAATAGTAAGATTCATCTAGCACCGTAGACCTAGACAGAAGGAGATTGAGCATGCTGTAATATTCCATACCTTGTTATGTGACTGAAGAATCTGTATGATGACTCTAGTCTTAGGGTAATAGTTCTTGATAGAGAGCACCCTGCATAAACCACAATTATGCTCGTTAGTTATACGTCATAGCATCATTTTATAGAATTCCAGTTAGAGTTAAAATGAAACATGAGTGAGTTGAACAAGTCTTAGTAAATTATATAATCTGTGTTTTCTAAAATGTTCTATGAATAGCATATACAGAAAGCCTCCATGTTTCAATAATTAATCTGGATTAAACCAAGTTGTGGAAATGTCACCTATAGGTCTTAGGAGACGGTGATCTTCTGGAACCCAGTTCTCGAAGAGGAAATGCAAATGTCATGTTTTGGCCTTCAGACGCAAACATATAAATACACAGAAAAATAGAGGGCTGGAGAGATGGCTCAGTAGGATAAGCACTTGACTGGCAAACACAAGGATCTGAGTTCAATCCCCGGTTCCGGGAAAAAAAAATAGAGATTTACTTGCTGTCTGTAGCTTTCAAAAGACTGTAAATATTTAATTTAACATTTTTTGCTTTACGAGTTAAGGAACTAAGTTCTATCACATATTCATAATACTATAAATGGTCCTCAGCTATTTCCATGTGTACAATCATCTACAGCTATATATATTTATGTATTTCTGTGGACCGGAAGTTCACAAAGTTGGGGACAACACGATTGCTACCTGTTATAGTTTAAATCTTAAGGTCCCCCGAAAGTCTTATGTGTTTTGATGGTAATGGGATCACAGGGATGCCATGCATATTAGTGGACTTTTCACTGATGATTCCTAGCTGACTTGTTATTAAGAAGTGGGGCCTGACTGGAGTTGGATCACCGGGGGCACAACCTGGAAGGGGTATTCTTATCCCCAGCACCTCTGTTCTTTCTTTTTGTTTCCTGTCTGCCATAGGATGAGCAGCTTTCCTCCTCTAGGACTTTCTACCATTGTTTCTGCTCTGGAGTCAAAACTGGATTGAAGCCAATGAAAACCATAAACCGGACAAATCTATCCTCTTTTAAATTGTGTGTACTGGATATTTTGTCTTTATGGTGTAATGGTGAATAACATACAAATCAGTACTAGGGAAGTGGGGTCATTGATGAGCCCTACTTTATGACATGCAGTTCAGAAATCTTTGGATTTGATTTGTGGAAGGAATTTAGAAAGGTTTGGAGATGCTGACTAGAATGTGGTAAGCAGAGAAAACAATGATTAGACACTTGTCAGGTCTTGGAAGATTGCATGCTGATAGAAATGTAGAGTACAGGCCCAGGAGCTATAGCTGTCATTTGGGGACAATTCCACTGGCAGTTGGACTACAGGTCATGTGTGTTACATCCTAAATATCTGCTTTCATTTTGACCATGCCCTGAGGGCTCATGGAGACTGAAGATAAGCACAGTGGATTAATTAATCTGTTGGAGAAAATTTCAAAGAAGCCCAAAATTCAGGCTTTGGCATGTAGGTATGCTGAGAAGCATGAGCAAAAATCAGATGTGAAAAGCTTGTGGTTTCAACATAAAGAAAGTACTTGCAAAGTGGGCACCATGAAAATCACAGTTGTGAAAAAAAATTGCACAACAAAAAGAAGCCACATCCTTGTATGCAGACAAAAGAAAGGCAGCTTAAAAACATCTTAAGAATGAGGAAAATCTCACCTTTTGCATACTAAGGATTTAAAACTGTAAAGCTCTCATGTGAGAAGTGAGCCTCTGCATTCCATGCTCTTGAAGGACTGCTTGTGGAATGGATTTCCTGTGAATCACTTCATTCTGCTCAGCCATCCAGGCACTCAGAGGCCACTGCACTGTGCTGCAGGCCTGGCTCAAGGGGCCTACCTACTGCCTCCACCGCTGCCAGACTGGACATCATTCAAGCAATGATGTTTCTTTGAGCAGGCAGAATGTAAGCCTGTGGGATCTTCTGACAGATTTCAGTGGGCTGGGAGGCAAGAAAGTGTGCTCCTGAGAAAGCAATGCATTGTGATATGAGAGTTAAGCTGAATGGGCAGTGGATACCACTGGAAGCTATGGATGCCAGGAACATGGGCCATCTGCTTAGGAAAACCTCAGACAGGGAGCAATACTAGCTCAAGAGAGAAGCCCTGTGAGCTGCAACCAGCAATGTCATAGGAATAGAGCTGCGCAACTCCCAAGGAGCTCACGTTTTACCATGCCTTGAACAGGGTGCTGGACGTGGAGCTACGAAATTTAATGTTTGCCCTGCAGGCCTTTGATTCCATTCCTTGCTCTTCTCCTATTCTATCCTTTTTGGAATGGAAATATTTACATCATGACACTGTGTGTTGGAAGTACTTAATTTTCTTTTTGATTTTTACAGGGGCTTATAGCTAAGAGTTAGGGTCTCAAAAGACTTTGAACTTGGAATTCTCAGAAATAGTGGAAGCATTATACTTTGTCCACTCTTAGAGATGGATTAACTGTATTTTTTTAAATAATGAAATGGACATGAGTCTGTAGGGGGCAAATGATAGAATCTTATGATTTAGATCTGAAATGTCCTCTCAAGGTCTCATGTTGGAAAGGTGACTGAATCATGGCAGTGGAGTGTGTGTGTGTGTGTGTGTGTGTGTGTGTGTGCGTGTGTGTGTGTGTGTGTGTGAACATGCCCACTATACTCCCAGTGGAATAATATAAGAGATAGGACCTGGTTGGAACTGGCTCACTGGGGGTGTGAGCTAGGCAGGTGTATTCTTGTTCCTGGCTTCTCCCTTTTCCTCCGTTTCTTGGCTGTCTCATGGGATGAGCAGCTGTCCTCGACCAGGCTTCTCTACTGTAGTTCAGCCTTGGAACCAGCTGTCTTTGGACTGAGTCCCATAAAAATTGTGAGCCAAAGTGCCCTCTCCTTCTTTAGTTCTGGGTATTGAATGTTTTGTCACAGCCATGGGATAGCTGGCTGATACACTATCATAATGATAATGAACTTACAATTAACACAAGTCAAGCTCCTATGTATAGATAATTTATAGTTAAAGACAATGTTAACTCTGCCCAGCTTGAAAATATTTTCCAATGCTCATAACTACATCATACAAACTATGCATGATAATTCATTAGAAGTACATAATAAAAATCTCAATAAAGTGTACAAATAAGTCTAAAAGTTGGCATCCTTTTGAAAAAAAGATGGTCATAGCTATATGGTGCTATCCAAATAATAAATAGTCATTTGTACACTTGTCCTTAAAATTCAGACAGCTATCTGAAATGCTGATAGCTGCACTGTCTATGAAACATTGAGAAAGAACACCAAGAAACACATATGCACATATTCTCTAGTTTCCCTTGTATCCACCTTCTATCAGAGTGTGTTCAAACAATAAGTATAAAAGTAGAATGTGATGAAGCTGGCATTCTGACCAGAAGATAACACCTTCTGCAGCTTTCTCCTATGCACTGCGCTTCATTTTAGTAGAGGTAGAAAAGGAAACCAGCACTGGAGCACGCACAACCCAATGCTAGCTTCTTACCTCATGATGTTGGAAGTGTCTTCTGCATATGAGTCACTGCACAAAGAGTTGGCTAAGATCAGGCATGCTTCTGAAAACTCCACCTGCTCTTCAAGATTAAACATAGCCATCTTGTTAATCACATCAGAGGACATTCTAGTGTCCCTTTTGTTGGGTTTTCCTATGATTTTGTCATAAAATTGCCAACAAAAAAGACATACATAGGAAGGACTAGTGATCATGATGTCTTTATATCAAGATCATAGTCTAGTAGATACTTCCAGAGTGAGGAGAACTACAGCTGATGGGCCAAGTCTCCAACACAGATGGAAAACTGCTTCAAAATAGTGAATATGCACAGCATTCTTGCTTTTTTTAACCATACGTCACCATTATCTTATATCTACCAGTGAACAATAGAACCATTTTCAGAAAATGCCTATATATTTATTTTACTTTCAGGAGAGCAAAGGAAAGAGAAATTAGGAGTTTTCTTGACCCAAAGCAAGCAGTAATTCAATGTATTTTACAATGTATTGTACAGTGTATTCTAGAATCTTAAGATTCTAGAAAATTATTTAAGTTTCTCCGATAATACCAAGCTGCAAGACAGAGAAAGATTACATAGGGCCTGTCGTTTTCTGCTTGAAGTCACTATACAGACTTTTCTTTTGAGCTGAAACATTTTGGCTTATTAAGACTTAAGACTGAAAGGAATCTGGCTTTGATTAAATCCAAAACTGACTAGAGGGTGGGCTACCACATTTTATTTGTAGTCTCAACTCTTAATGAGATTTCTGCTATCCTCATTCATGTTTCCCAATCTGAAGACCTAAATGGTCAGGAGAAGTCGGTCAGAACTGAAGGACACTTAAAAATCTATCTTCTAGTATGAACCCTATTTGGATCACAAGATAAAATACACTTGTATTCTCCATAACATTTTCAAATCTGATAAAGTACTTAGTAAATACAGAACTTCGGAAAATAAAAATTTAATGTAAGTGTTCACAGATAGTATCTACTTGTCCTTTGTCAAAGAGTATTTGGAGGTCAACTACTATACATTTTTTCTGATCAGTTTTAAAGTTAAGAAATCCATATTTTCCCCCAGTGTAAGGATCTGAAATATCAATACAGCCTACCATCTTAATTATTGTAGCTTTGTACAACCGCAAGAAAAGAACTAGATCTTACCGCAGCTCGCTTCAGATCCTCCCACTTCAGTGCAGATCCACAGATAAAAGTTGTATAGGCCAAGTTGCATTTAAATATGGTCTCCAATTCCAAAGAAGGAGGGACCCTAGGTGAAAGATTATGGTGGCAAAGATGAGGAAAAGATCATTGACTGGCTTGCAGGTTCCAGTACATATTTAATACATTGAAAAGCACACTAATTTTTACTCTTGGAAAATATGCATCAGTCATTATTAATCCACATATTAGGTTATATTAATGAAATCTGTCCAATCCCAGGGATACGTTTGTATCTCAGGCCTAAGAAATCACTGTATTATGAATGAAAACAAGGAAAGGCAATGGCAAGAAAGAGGGAGAAATCCAACAGGTCACAATAATTAGAGATTTCAGCACATGTCTTCAATTTGATCATAAGTCAAGGAGAAGAACAATCAGATATTTTGAATACAAGTCTGATACTACTTTTACAATCAACACTTAGAAAATGTATTTTTAACAGCACAAAAGTTAATAAAATGACATTTTACTCAATCAAAAAAGAATACCTCAATGTATTACAAAACATAGTTATTGTACATATCATTGTCTTTGATCATATAACAATTGTTAGAAGCTAAAAACCAAAATACAAATTAAAAATATTCTTCACATTTAAATTTTTTAAAATGAGATGTTACAATTTTTATGTACAAAGAAGAAATTAAGAGTAGCTCTTTACAATTATTCTTAGAAATAAT